TTTTTCACACTTGCTTATTATTAGACCAATCTGAATCCAGCAAAGCTCAAGGATAACATCAGCACCCGGAGAAGAACTTCAGTATCCTGTTGCTAGAAAGGATGCTTTGACAAGATCTTAACATAGCCCTAACTAAATCTAGAGAAAGTTACTGGTATTTGTGGCAGCTCCCATCCAGAGCCCAAGGAAGTGTTCAAAAAAAAAATGCAGTGTGGATCAGAAGGGATAATGGCCAAAGTGCCATTCTCTTTACTGGTCAGGACACACTGCAGAGCCCATACAAAATACACTGTGCTCTTAGTTTGTCTGTAGGCCACACCTCTTCCACCTGTTATTTTTCCATTCATTTACAGATACCCAAACTTTTATCATTAAATAGTGCAAATAAATCACAGAATCACAGGATGTTAGGAGTTGGAAGGGGACCTCGAAAGCTCATCCAGTCCAACCCCTGCCAGAGCAGGATCACCAGAGCAGTCACACAGGAACGCGTCCGGGGGTTTGGGTGTCTCCAGAGAAGGAGACTCCACAACCTCTCTGGGCAGCCTGGGTCAGGGCTCTGTCATCCTCACAGTGAAAAAGTTTTTCAGATTGAACCTCCTATGCTGCAGCTTGCTCCCATTTCCATAAATACATACTAAGGAGTTTCTAAGAAAAAGTAGTAGAGAACTGGTAAAATGAACTTCTTATGCAGAGATTTAGCTTAAAAAAAAATAGTTCCTAGGTATTGTATGTCAAAGAGAAAGTGTGACACTTCAAAATTAAGAAGTAACAATAGGTGCCTTAGGTACTCAACTATGCAGACACTACGAAGCTGAGAATCATTTTGAGTGCATACTGAGGACATACTTTGAAATTTTCTAGAAGTTTGGAAGAAATAGCCTGGAGTAGGAAATATGGGTAATTCTTTCCAGAAACAAGAAGGTTGACTTTGACAGCATCTATAAACTCTTTCTTCACTCAGCCCTTTAAACTTGAAGTGGCACCCATGTTCAAAACCATCTCTGTCAAGAACCTTTGCTCTGTTAAGTGCACCCTCAAAACTTATACCTAACAGGAAAGCATTTTATGAAGATTTTAAGTATGCATTCTGGTCACAGTCATCGAACGTTATTTTCACACTACAATGATAAGTCCAGTTTCCCCAGCATCAATGTTCAGCTCACCCCAATACCTTAAATATATCCCATCCTAAGAAACAAAAACCAACAAAAAAAATTCCTTCTTTCTGACAGTCTACAGTATAAGGAAAATTGCCTCAACAAGTGACTGAAGAGGATATCACAGAATCACAGAATGGTTTGGGTTGAAAGGGACCTTAAAGCTCATCCAGTCCCACCCCTGCCATGGGGGCCCATCCAACCTGGCCTTGGGCACCGCCAGGGAGGGGGCAACCACAGCTTCCCTGAGCAACCTGGGCCAGGGCCTCACCACCCTCACAGTGAAGAATTTCTTCCTAATATCCAGTCTAAATCCCTCCTTTTCCAGTTCAAAGCCATTCCCCCTCATTCTATCACTACTTGTCCCTTGTAAAGTCCCTCCTTAGCTTTCCTGGAGGGCCCCTTCAGGAACTGGAAGGCTGCAATAGGGTCTCCCCAGAGCCTTAACTGGTAAAGCTTACTAAACACATTTACCCTAGGGTTTCAACAGCCACACACTTCTACCAAACATTATAAGAAAGGTTCAATGTATGTAGCACCCAGCATAATCAGACTCCTGAAGCTTCTTTTTTTTGCAGTGCCACACCAATGTATGCATTAAAGGGGTTTGGCACATGGCAGCCACCACCCACCACACAAACAACTCCACATCAGGAATTTCTCTATCATCAGCCTCCTTTGCTTGACACAAGGAGCAGATATTCCCAAGCACGATCCACAGCAGCACTGCTGGGAGCTTCTGCTGGGAAGGGCCAAAGGCCACAGGAGGGAACTCTGTCCCAAAGGCAACCACCACAGCTTTGGGCCTCAGACACGCTGGTGCCAGGGGCCAGCCACGCCACCACAGAAGAGTCACTCAACCACAACTTCAGCTGTATTTCTGTTTCACCTTACTGTCTCCAGAAAGGGCCCCAAAACTATGTTAATTCCACACTATGCAATTGTAAAAAGCGGTAGGGGTTATGCTGAAGCTACTGTCAGGTCATCCAGTTATATGCTTAGCCCACTCATTTGTTCAACACCCAAAACCCAGCTGGAGCAGGATATGTCAGAGATTCCTGGACAAGAATGAGGACACCACCAAAAAAACCTAGTAAGTCAGCAATATACTGAAAAACAGCATCTAGTCTTGACAAGCTGTCACTCAGCTCATCCATTTTATAGTGTTTTCCCCTCTCCAGCAACACTGAGGCTGGGAGCAGCTCCTGGGATAATGAAGCCAAGAGATGCATCTTCTTTCCCTAGGAATAAAGAAAAAAAAGGATGCGATGTATTTTGATTTCTTTGCATCACACCCTCTTGTGACCTAAAATTTCTTCACAATTTTGCCCATGAGAAGAAAATGCCAATATCCTCTTTCCTTTGGGACAGACTTCAGCAGGCATCAAAGAGGAAGCTGTTCCCAAAACAACACAAGTCCTAAAACTATCAGCCCAATTCAGATCAACACAAGAGCAGCCACAGGAGAGAGTAAACACCAAGTACAGCATTCAACAAATCAAGAATTAAAGTAGACTGCCCTGAAGGCCAGTCTAATCAGTACAGGTTTACTACAGATAAGCACTATGAGGAGCTGTTAGCAGGGAAGGGACTCCATCAGTTGGTTTGTATAATTCCACTAGGAAGCTGCTCAAAGAGGATTTTGTCATGTTACCAGTTTGTCCATGCTCTAGGAACATAGCACAGATTATTAGAACAGCCTTCAAACCTCAGAATTTCTTCTAGAGGGGAAGAGATCCCGTTAAAAGACTCCCATTGTACACACATACAAACAACACTTTATCAGGTTGGGATATTTGTATGAGGACATTCGATCCCAGCTCTTGGAATCTTCCAGGTATGCAAGGTTATAGAATTCAAACTAAAATACTGCACCTTCTTGGCTGGGGATATAATTCAGGAAATGTTTTTACATATAATACATGAAGCACATGTTTTTAACATATCATCTATAAAAAGCAAGGTCCATGTGCCACACCTGTGCAGAAAAATCAGTTTCATATGGAAGCTTCCAGCTTCTCACAAGTTATAATATTCAGAAACCAGAAGAGACATTTCACTGTAGAAACAAACCTGCTGATTACAGGCTGCTACAATGTGCAGTCTCTTGCACTTTCCACCCCACCCTCTTGAACTGGAATTACAAATGGCAAAAGCAGAGTTATACAGACAAAAATACTTGTCAACAGCCCTTTCAGACCACTACTGAGAGTGGGCTTTTGATTTTCTGTTCCAGGAAGGGTTCTTTCCCCAGATACTGTTTTCAAACCCACATCTACAATTCCTTTCCCTGAGCACTTTCAGACCTGGCACTGTTGTACCATGCCAAGACTAAAGCCAGGGTTTTTTTTTTACCTACAGTATAGACAAGAAAATGCCTGTTCTGTCACAGCAAAGGCAATTTTCTGCTTTTTGAAGCAGGATACAAAACTATGTGGTGAAAACATCTCCTCAAGTTGCATTAAGACAGTGGGGAAAAATTAGGAACACTGCCTGTAATGATGTTACCTTCAGGCTTCAGTGAAGCAAATGCCTTGAGAGGAGAAGCCTTTATAACCAGGAGAAACTGCTAGATTGCCCTTTATTGCTCTTACACTGAAAAGACCAAGAGGAATAACTCAACAACGTGCTGACCACATGCTGACCAAACAACCTCAAGGATGCACAAGCATATGCAGCAAAATGAACACTGCTCTTGGGGCAAGTAGCAGGCTGCTGTGTTATTTGCTTCAGAGTTTGCTTACACAGACTGTTTCTGTCAAAAAATATTTCTCAGCAGAAGAGCAGCATCACAGATACATCATGGCTGGAATTATTTCAAAACATTTAAATATGAAATACCTTCTTCATGAGGTAGATCACAATAAGAAAGGAACCTAGAGAAGATTACTGCATCAATGAAAGAAAATCCTGCCTCAGCAGAGACCTGTAAACATCTATTTGTGCTACAGCACTTTGACCTTTCAGCATCTGAGGCTCCTTTTTTCATTAATTGGCCACTTGTCATTTTGTGTACCTGTAATGAATGCTTTCCTTCACACTGAAAAAAGGAAGCCTGACTGATAAAATCCTCATTCTTGAGCAGGTAGCTATCAGTGTCAGCTAAAACCACTATTGAACTGCTGTTTGTACCTGTACAGATGGCTCTGTCAAAGTCAAGTCACTTGGGCAGTACTGCTTTCCATGCATACATCTCTATTCACAGCAGTTGCCTTAACAGTAGCTCTAGGAAAACCTCCCAGCACACAAAACACTCCAGAATAACAACACATTGCTCTGTCTGTGACAGCACAAAGAAATCAGGGAGCTATTTTCTGCTTTAGCCAAGGATTTTAAAGACTTCTCTTGTCAATGGTGCATGGTGTTAGTACCTCCACTGGACTGCAGCTCCAGTGCTCCACATACTTGAGGTATAACTTCATCACTCAGACATACTGCTGACTGCATCTATGCTGACTTCTTTTGTTTGGGACACCAGGACTCTTTTTGAAACAAATCTCCCTGCTTATTACTCATTAGTTCATTTTGCAGAGGTTTTGATACTTGCAAACTGAATCCTTTCCTGAGGAAACCAACCCAGATGTGTACCAAGTGTGCCTGGCCCCTCAGGGAATTTTAAGGATCCAGATCAACAGTCTTCTGGCTAATACTCTGTGTGGCAGAGGCACTTCATCCAGAGATTATGCTACACCTAGTCCAAAGTGGAAAACTCCAAACCACATACTATGGAATACAAGGCCCCCAGTAGCAACTGTTTTTATCTGCTGCTAAGGTCTGCATAATTCAGTGTATAAACTGTGCAGGTCTTCCCAGGACACCCCAGGGTGTTAGGTTCCTTACCTGACTCTCTCTTCTTCAGCTCTTTTGAGCTCTGCATCCCGTTGCAGCACCTTCATTATCGCCTCTTGTTCCTCCTCTGTTAGGAAGCTCAGGTCAATCATTTTGTTATGTGTGTAGGGGCTGGTAAAGTGTTCAGGAAGATCTTAAATCCTGCTGAGGATAATCTTGTAGTACTCTTTAAAGGTATAGAAGACAAGAAGTCTTTTTCAGCAAGCACTGAGACAGCTGGAGCAGGTTACAGTCAGTGGTTTTATGAGTCCCAAACACTGCTTTCCTGTATTAGAGTATGCAAATGTTTCCCCAGATGAGAGCCTTTTGGGAAAGTGTTGCATTCCTGCTTGCCATCACAGCAATATCTTCTCAGCTCGTCCTCTCAGCTCTGCTGCCTAGAGTAACAGTTCATTGATCTAACATATCCAGTGTTTAAAAACAAACAAAACATCCCCTAAAAAAAGAGAGACAAGGAAGAACAAGATGTAACATCAGGGATCAGGGAAGTAGATTATGTATGCATTTTTAATTAAAAGAAACAAGTTTTCCAGTGTGATTAAACTACTTTATGAAGTTCAAATGGTCACTTCAAGTCAAACCTGTTTTACAGGCCTCTTGAACCAGGTGGTCATGGAAATATATTCCTTTCCAATATGACAACTCTCACCCTAAAACACAGAATCAAGTGCCATTCAAATTATACATTTAAAAGTAAGTGCATTTTAAGTTCTCCTTGAAGTCAGTGGGACAATTTCAAGAAGGAAGGGAAAAAAAACAACCAACCAACCAAGAGCACTTACCACATTTATTTAAAGTAAAAAAAAGTGTAGTCACAAATATTGACATTATATTCAAAAGCCCACAAGAAATCTGTACCTATGGCTGTCATGCACAGATAGAGAAGTGCCAGATATCTCAAGAAAACTTCCCTGCTGCTTGCAGCCCTGACTGACAGCAAAGCAGCTGTCAGAGGCAGCCCAATGTGCATCCAGTGCCACCATACGCTTGGATCATGTCCACGACATCTCTTCGCAAGGGCTAGAAGTTGAGTTTTGTGTATTTAAAGAAAGAGCACCTCAACTCCAGGAACAGAAGACTTCAAGAAAAAAAAAAAAAACAACAACTTGGGCTAAAACTCATGAGCGTGCCCTGCTGGTTTACTTATCATTAGTGCATTTCTAGGACACCATTTTTGGCAAGTCACCAACCAACCAGAGCAAAAGACTCATCCCATGAAGGGAAGCCATTGAACTTTTGGACTACTCCACTCCTACCAAACTGTGGGCCTTGCCCTCTACACCCATCTTCCCACTTCAAGTCTTCAAAGACTCCTTTTTCCCTTCCAGGAGATCAGAAAGGCAGAAGTTGTTACAAGCCCTGGAGGAAAGCCTCAAGGAAGTAATCAAAAAGCTGCCAAATGCAACATGTTGTGAGATGGGAGGAGGCTGGGAACATGGTAGAGGAATTTGTATATTCCGGATCAGGAGCGTGTTCTGAAGTTGGTGCAGTGCGTGTTTCTGCAGGATTTTGTCTTCTATTTGTAGCAAAAAAGCGTATCGCCCAGGAAAGGTTTCTCATATGCTACTCAGAATTAAAAGCAACAGGTTTCAGAGATTATTTCCTCAGAATCCTCCCAAATGGGAATTCTGTAACAGACTTCTGACCAAAATACACTTTATTTCCCCCCAGCCACACAGGACTCCTTGCTGAAGGGTCAGGCACCAAGCTTGCAAAGTCAAGGTCCTTACAGTTAACTTTTTAAACTTCCTAGAAGCTGCTGGATGGAGTCAGATCTGCAATGTCATTCTGAACAGTGACCTCAAGGTCAATAGAAAGGGGTTTTAAACTGGAAGAAGGCAGATTTAGACTGGATATTAGGAAGAAATTGTTTACTGAGGGTGGTGAGGCTCTGGCCCAGGTTGCCCAGAAAAGCTGTGGGCATCCCCTCCCTGGCAGTGCCTAAGGCCAGGTTGGACAGGGGTTGGAGGAGCCTGGGCTGGTGGAGGTGTCCCTGTCCATGGGAGGTTGGGCTGGGGGACCTTTAAGGTCTCTTCCAACCCAAACCGTTCTATGATTCTGTGATTTGAGTTCCTATTCCTTTGTACCAGCCCCTGCTTTGGGAAGGAAGGTCTGGGTATCTATGGTCAGCATAGGCTGCAATACAATTTGATTCACAAGACATAAATGTAACTTTTACTCACAACATTTTACCACTAATGATGTATGATTATGTCAGGAATATGTTCCCACTGAGTCCTAATCACTGTCTTACAGAGCATATGGAATAAATGCAAAATAACCTCTACATGTCTATCTTGAGTATGTGGAATTAGAAGTCATGCGGTAACACGAACCTCGCTGTTTTATCCAAACCAAACTGCATCTATAAGCAGTAATTTAAAATACTAGTTTGTCTCTGTTTTATAGGCCATGGCTCCAGACTTCTAAAAAAGCAGAGGGCTATTCGCTTACAAGGCAATGCCAACTGTCAAAGACAAAAACCTCTTCAAGAAAAACCTCAGAGGAATAAAGAAAGGGAGTCAGCTGTATCTAGAGTAGAGTCTTAGTAAGAGCACCAGGGATGTAATGGAGCCAAAGAAATAAAGAGCTTGAATTTAGCATAAGCCTGAGAAACATTCCTAGTGACAAGCCCAGTGAGAGATGAAATAGAAGCAGATGTTGTCATGGGACAGGTCTCTTCATTAGGCCACTACCATCACTACCTTTAGGTTTGTGTGTGTCTGCTGTAGGCCCTTGCAGCTCCACAGGTTGGGCAGACAGGATGCTGCCATCGTATCAATCTAAAAATAGATCAAAATCACACAAGGAGCCATTGCACCAAAACCTCGTAATGAGCCACTGCACTTGTTCCCCTGGTCACAGAATGCAGTCAAGAGATTAAAACAAGATATTGGCACTGGTACTATGCAAAAGGAAACTTCATCTCTAAAGATAACAGCATTTCTTGCAGATGTGGAAGGCAGCTGCAGCCAGGTTCATGATTATCCCCCCTGCTAAAGAAAAAAAAGCCCATAACCTTCTGCATGTGGTTATGCTTGGCTGCCATATTTATCTTCTCCGTGATTCCCACTGTGATTTTGTTCCATGACATTGATATAACAGTATCTCAAACAACTTACCATCTGTAACTTTAATTGCATTTAGATAGTGACAGTTTTATAATTAGACAGAAGTATTACTATAGAGCTATACACAAACATAACAATCTTACGTTTGTTAAGGATCCACAACAGCCCTCCTTCAGCTTACAAACAGTTACAGATATTTGTGTTGACTATCACATGGAAACTTTTCACAGCATTTCCTGTACCAGTCAGCATTCCCAGTGCTAATTCAAAGCCCTAAATGCTGACTGGAAGGCACATGCACTGCTGCCAACAGGCACAGGACCTCACGTTGCAACGACAAAACCTAGACAGTTCTGAACTGGAATTATCAAGGATTTTTTTCATGTAAATTAAGCAAGTTTCTTGTCAAAGGGCAATCAAGTCTTAAGAAAGCTGTTGTAGGAATGATGTCTTACCATGTCTTTGTCTTTAAAGAAAGCTGAGGGAAGAAATGTTCTATTGGCTATCAGATTAATTTTAAAATTTAAAAGTAGTTGGGCAACATTTACAAAACAAGCTGCAGGCTTTATCAAGGTCTCACAGTATACAAATTAATAAAACTATTGGAAGTAGAACTTCAGTCCTCCCCAGACAAACAACAGTTTGCATCCTGTACTCATTTACATGCTATTATCTTAGTTAGTTTTGCACCCACCCTAGGTTATGATTAAAAGCATCCCTAGTCTTGAGTAGTGTAGCTGAGACCCTTTAGGTTACTTGCAAAGCTAACAACCTAACACTTCAGTTAAGGCATGTCTGAGTACCTGAAAAACTGGCCCTGATCTCACTGGATAAGCAGTAGAAAAAGTTAGCAATAATCAGCTGCGGGTTCCGCCTGCCCCACTTAATGAGCATCATCCCTATCATATTTCACTATAATATCAAGTCTCTAGTCACAGGAACCATGCCAGCCACAAACTGAAACCAGAGCAGTTTTCAGTCTCTGCATAAAGAGGAAAACTTATTTGTGCGTGTGGTGCACTTGGCTGACCTCATGAGAGCTGCTGATGCACGTTACTGCCAGGCTGGCTGGCTGCAAGAGATGGGTAGCACCGATTGCAAGCACAGATGGTCCAAACTGCTGGCTTAGAGCATAGCATTTGTTATAAGACCTAAGGCTAATTAAAAAAAAATTTAAAAAGTAAAAATAATCAATGCTTTTCTCTACTTCAAGTCACCCGCTACCATTACCCCAAGCTCAATTCTTTTGATTTCTTTCTTTTTTTTTTTTTCCTCTTAAAAGCCCCTATACACACCAAAAAGAACTGGCAGGTCTCAACAGTTTGTCTGGTGCCACTGTAAAGCTAAATGGTAAGCTTTTCTGTGCCAGGAAAGTTTTCAGACCCAAGTTTTAAGTAAGACTGAAAGATCTACATCAGACTGATTAAATAATGGAAATCGATAGAAATACCACATTGACCGATTCCTGGAGAAAGGCTGTCATGGGCTGTAGACTTTTCTGAGTCTTGGGATATATGGCATGATTATTTTTTTAAGCCTTAAATTCAAGTGAAACCACACAAAAACCTTCCCTTTCATAAAATATTTCTAATCCCTGTAATAAACAGTAATCTGAAATTATGTTTTATGTAACTCATGCATGAAAGCATCTACATTTTGGCAATAAAAGAAACAGAAAAGACGACTCAAGACGTAGTTTCCCCTCACAACTTCCAAATGCTTTAGGCCAGGCATTCATCCAAAAATTTTATCTTATAAGATTTCTCAAAACGTCTCAGGCAGTTACACACCTCAGTTCCTTTAAATAGGGCTTTACATTTTTCTAGAACAAAAGTCTGCCCCTGCTGCTTTCTCCCAAGCACAAAAGGGGAATGATAATTCAATACTGCACTCCAAACACTAAGATATCACCTTAAGAGGTACCACAATCCTAGCTTTGATTTTCAAGTTTTTACTCAGGGTATATATATGAGGTATGTGAAGGAGAAGGAAGAGGTTGGAGTAGTTTGTCATGACTGACA